CATGTACGCATGTATGCATGCATGCATGATTGCATGTACGCATGTATATGTATGAACGTATTTATGCATGTATGAATAAACTCATGTATGCATGTATGCATGTACGCATGTATGCATGCATGCATGTACGCATGTATGTATGAACGTATTTATGCATGTATGAATAAACTCATGTATGCATGTATGCATGTATGCATGTATGCATGCATGCATGTACGCATGTATGTATGAACGTATTTACGCATGTATGAATGAACGCATGTATGCATGTATGCATGTACGCATGTACATATGTTCGCATGTACTCATGTATGTATGTGCATATGTAGGGACAGTGATTTTCCGCGATCGCAGAAAACAGACGGAAAACACGGAAACGGCCATTGGAAACGGAAAAGATGTTTTCAAACGGAAAAACGCGGAAAACGTAATTTGAACATATTACAACATGGAAATTTCAATAAAATAACACAAAAACAGTCAACAATAGCATTGGTAATGATATGGTTTACATTCAGACAAGTTTCAGAGCGAAATGACTTACAATTACGACTTTTGGTAGCCCTGTGTTTCGGTGCCGGTTCCGGTTTCAAAGGTTGTACCAAATACTTTTTTTTTATGCAAATATATATAAACGGAATTTTGCATTTTTGGTGTGTACAAACTCTATGGCAAAACGGAATTTCCATTTTTTCTTTACTTTGGAACAGAATTTATGCTTTTCCCAAACGGAAAAGGCAATTTTTTGAAACGGAAAATCACTGTCCCGTAAGCATGCATGCATGTATGTATGTACGTATTTACGTATGTATGAATGAACGTATGTGTATATGCATGTATGCATGTACGCATGTATGCATGTATGTATGCATGCATGCATGTATGTATGTACGTATTTACGTATGTATGAATGAACGTATGTGTATATGCATGTATGCATGTATGTATGCATGTATGTATGCATGCATGCATGTATGTATGTACGTATTTACGTATGTATGAATGAACGCATGTATGCATGTATGCATGTTCGCATGTATGCATGCATGTAATTGTATGTATGCACGTACGCATGTATGCATGCATGTATGCATGTAATACGCATGTATGTATGCATGCATGTACGCATGTATGTATGTACGCATGTATGCATGTATGCATGCATGTACGCATGCATGTATGTATGCATGTACGCATGTATGTATGTATGCATGTATGCATGTACGCATGTATGTATGTATGTATGTACGCATGTATGTATGTTCGCATGTACACATGCATGCATGTTCGCATGTATGCACCAATGTATGTACGCATGTACGCATGTATGTATGTAGGCATGTGCGCATGTATGTATGTATGCATGTACGCATGTATGTATGTTCGCATGTACGCATGTACCCATGTATGTTTGCACGCATGTACGTATGTATGCATGTATGTACACATGTACGCATGTACCCATGTATGTTACCTGTTTCTTATTCGTCACGAAATGGTGATAGCAATGAAAAGTGCACAAGTAAGTAGTAACTAGTAATGAAAACGAGAACGCATACATGATGGTAACTAGTAATGAAAACGAGAACCCTCGCCCTACCACCCACACACGCACCACCACCCACACACGCCCCACCACCCACACACGCACCACCACTCACACACGCCCCACTACCCACCCACGCACCACCACCCACCCACGCTCACCCCTCTCTCATGCTCGCATGCATACACATTGCCATCCACCTGTACTCACCTCCACACGTCACTGGACTTGGAGAAGGTTGAGGACTTGATGACTTCGGGTGCCATCCACGCGTACGTGCCCGCCTGGCTCATGTGCGTTGTCTTGTCTACCTCGCGCGCCAGCCCAAAGTCGGTGATCTTCAATGTCTTGCTGCACAGGTCGTTGTCGTCGATTGGTTCCTTCAATAGCACTACAACAACAACAACAACAAGACTGCTGTCAGCAAAGGAGAAGCCTTCCTCTCTGCCTCCTAACTACAGTAGAAGGGTTCAACCGCCTCCTCTTTCTTCTCCTCCTCCTCCTCTCCCTTCTGCTTGCACCACATAGAAGAGCTACTCTGCCTTCTCCTAACCACAGCGGGAGAGTTTCCTCTCTGCCTCCTAAATACAGTAGGAGGGTTCAACTGCCTCCTCTTCCTTCTCCTCCTCCTCCTCCTCCTCTCCCTTTTGCTTGCACCANGCGTGCATTATAATTTGCGTGCACGCTATGTGCATGCGCGGCATTGAGTTGTGCTATTTACTGAGTCCCATGACGCTAGGAATCTAACATGAATGCTGATGCGGTTGATTTTCGCTCAATGAGGGCTCGCTGCGCAGTAAGAGATTCAGTGGCATATTGACCAGTAGTATTGACGAGTCTAGTATATATGATCTAGATTACTGTGTATGACAGTATAGACTCTAAGGAGGGTTACTGATTGTCTCTACGGACAGCATGCCACGCGCAGCGGCATCATAACAGATATTGCTCCCCCCTCCCCTCTCTCTTTCTCTCTACTCTCTCTCTCTCTCTCTCCATCATCTCTCTCTCTCTCTTCTCTTCTCTCTCCTCGTCTCTCTCTTCTCTCGCGTCTCTTCTCTTCTCTCTCTTCTGCTCTCTCTCTCTCTCTACCTCGTCTCTCTCTTTCTCTCTCGCTTCTTTGCCTCTATCTGTTCTCGCTGCTCTTTCGTCTGTCTCTCTGCACTCTTTCTTTGCCTCTCTTCGTATCTCTACTGCGCTCTCTTCTGTTCTTTTTCTCGCTCTCTCTCTCTTTCTTTTTCTCTCTCTCCTCTTTCCTGTCGTGGTTGTGTGTGTTGTGTGTTGTGGTGATGTGTGTCGTCCCGGTGTTTTTCTATCCCAACTTTCTTCTCTCTTCCCGCCTCTCTCGTCCGCTCTCTCTTCTGTGTTCACGCCGATCTTCCCCGTCGACCTTTCCAGTCTGCAAACACGACGTCGATCCGTATAGCACGTCAGCAGTAACTTACACCAATAGCACCCGGCACACGCTATTTCGAAGTAATAACGTACTTAGGTGCTTGTTCGCAATCCGTATTAGTACGCAGTGGTGATCTCGTTAGGCGTGGTGGACAGCTTAAGTCTACACTGCCTAAGCAGTGACTGAGAAGAGAAGCGTGCCTCACGTCAAGGCGTTCATGTATGTCCCTGGACGCATTTTACAACCTCTTCACTCCGACGGCGCGAGAAGACGGTTTGAGGTCGAAGACTATCTACTTTGCGAAAATTCAATGCAAGATATTTTTGACGCTTGATGTCTGTGGCACGGCCGAGCAGCAATTTCACTGTCATGATTTAAAATGCACTGAATAGTGCTTTAAATCTAACTCCCAAGCAGCATTCCATATATCCCTAGCAGTGCCTACACACCACGAAACAGCCATGAAGTCGATGCGTGTGAAGTAACGCACTAATATTTGCCCGTTAATATACCGGTGCCGGCATACGGTATTATAACATCGTTGATCGAGCGCTTCGCGAGCCACAATACATATTAGTATACATGATACAATAATCATATATACCATGTACGGCTGATTAGATGTGAGTATGCTTAGTTATCACGACTGCGGCCGTTAACATTCGGAAAGACGATCGTGTGATTACGCAATTATATCAGGTGATATGTATATATATATATATATATATATATATCTATATATAATATATAATATTATTATTGTTTACCCTGCGTGAGTAAGCCCGCGAGAACTCCCGTCCCATGGTTGAAGTGAACGCTGCAGTGCTCATTGGCACTTCGCCACGTGCGACAATAACAGCGCGGTAGGTATACGCCATCTGCCCTACCCGCACCCACCACGAGCGTCACAGCAAGACGACCCCCTACCCGCAACCCACCGGAGCGCACCAGCAAGCGACCCCTTACCGCAACGCCACCCGGGATCGCAAGCAGGCGACTCGCCTTACCGCACCCACCCGGAGCGCACAGCAAGCGACTCCTACCGCACCTCCACCGGAGCGCACCAGCAGCGCCCCCTACCGCCACCCACCGAGAGCGCACAGGCAGCTCGACCCGCCTTACCGCACCACCCGGACGCGCACAGCAGCCGACCGCCTACCCGCACTACACCGGAGCGTCACAAGCAGTGCCGATCCACCTTAACCGCAACCCATCCGAGACGCGCACAGCAGCCGACCCCTATCCCCGGCCACCCACCAGAGCGCACAGCAGACCGACCCTACCCGACACCCAACCGAGCGAACAGCAGCCGAAACGCCTACCCGCACCAACCCCGGAGCGCACAGCAGCCGCGGACCCCCTACCGCACCCCACCCGGAGCGCACAGGCAGCCGACCCCTACCCGCAACCACCGGAGCGCACAGGCAGCGACCCCTACCGGCACCACCCGAGAGCCGCACACAGTCGCACCCTACCAGCACCCCACCGGATGCGGACACAAGCAAGGTCACGACCCCTACCGCAGCCACCCGGACAGCGCACAGAGCCGACCTACCCGCACCCAACCGAGCAGCGCACAGCAGCCAGAGGTATCAACGGACGAAAAAGTTGACAAGGGTAATAGACGCCGCGCCGTTTCTACGCACGAACCGACGAAGGTTATCGTAGAGAGGTTAAGATTATTTGTGCTATCGCCGAATCTAACAAATGTTTTCACTGCGCAAGACGTATCGTAGTCGCGGAATTAAGGCCCACATTTACTCTCAGCTAGTTTTTAACCCAGTTATGACACGCAGCGGCTGACAGCGCGCGCGTGTTCGATAAGAGAGGAGAGTGAGAAAGGACCGAGAGAGAGAAGGAGAAAGAGAGAGCGAGAGAGACAGAAAAAAAGAGATGGAGCAGGTGGGGGTGAGAAAGAGAGAGGGGGAGAGGAGGAAGACGAGCGAGAAGAGAGAGAAGGGAGAAGAAAGAGAGGGTAAGCAGATAAGACTGCGAGAAAATTGGGTGAAGGGATGAGGAAGGCTGGAGGAGAGAGCTCGCGCGCAAGAGAGGAGAGACAAGACCGAGACGAGAGAGAAGACGATGCGGAGTGAGACAGAGACGAGGACAGGAGTGAAGGAGAGAGAGTGACGAGAGAAGGAGAGACGTGAGAGATGAAGAGAGAGGAGAGAACGAGAAGAGGAGAGAGAGAGAGATGAGAGAGGGACGAGAGAGAGAGAACCTTTCTATCATGTTCTCAGAAAACGAGAGAGAGGAGAGAGAGCCAGGAGAAGAGAGAGAGCGATGAGGAGAGAGAATGAGATGACGAGAGAGACGAATGGAAGGAGGAGACGGAGGAGAGAGAGAGAGAGAGAGAGAGAGAGAGCGAGAGCGAGACCTCTCACAAGAACGGCTTATACCCCCACGGGGGTCTGTCTGAAAAGGCACGCACATAATGGTACAGCGCGCGCACCTATTTGCACCTGAATCCACCAGCTGACGTGCAGCAGAAGGGGTTTTTAACGACTGCCCCTTCTCTCTCTCTCTTCCTGCATTAATACGTTCAGCAAACATGCGCACGTCTGATATATAAATGAGATCTGGAGGGAGCTTGCCCATTGTTACGGTCATCGTCACTGTTTATAGCCATGATGCTGGCGCTTTGGAATCGTGCCAAGGTCAATAGAGACGTGAGCACCCATCTTCCCGGCGTCTTTTTAAAGCCGACAGCCGCATGCACTGCTGTAAAATTAGACATGATTGGTTCTACTGATGAACCCATCCACGAGACCACGGCGGCCCGTTTCCGTGTAAAATACCAAAGTCCCTACAATTGTACTGTATTATACGACGGTAATTGGCATAGTTTACGCTAAAATTTGCAGCGTTAGGGTTCTTATTATTTCGTACCGGTATTTATTGTATATCGCTGTCTGTCTATACGTCGCGGTATCTTTGTTTCGCATTCTCCTTCGCAAGTCTGCTTCAATCCCATGCATACATATTTCACCAATTCTACCTGATTACATGAATAGCATATCTGGATTTTCTATTTTTTTTAATACATGAATGTGACGGACCACTTCCCAACACGGCCGCACACTTCATCACTACAGAAACACCCTCTAGCTCCACGCTAATGCCACCTTGAGAGTTACAGCTAGCAGTTGCAGCTTCTCACTTCGAAATGAAGCCATCTCATTACTTCTTGGTGAATATAGATTATTATTATCCATATTGAAGCCTGCATCACTTGCTTGTGGATTCAAATTATCATTTATCCTTAATCCTTTATCCTTATCAGATCTATTATTATTTTTTATATTGAAGCTATCCTGCTTCCTCGCAGTGATTCAGATGGTTCACTCCCTAATGAAGCTCTCTCATTAGTTGCTGGTAAATTCAGATGATAATTCCCTATATTGAAGCCAACCGAATACTTCACGGTGTTTCCGAATTCTCGATTCTTAATGACGCTTTCATATTACTTCATAGATTCCTATTCGTACTTTAATTTTCGAAGCTACTGTATGAAGCTACGTCTATTCCCCTGTTATATGTACATTAACCTATTGTGGCCAAATGTAGTGTTATATGTAGTGTTAAATGTAGTGTACATCTCTATATATACCTCTCTATATCCCAATATGTACTTGTGACTATGGTTTTACAACACTACACTAAACTTTGGCTACATGATGACATTTCACCTACCAATAACACCACCTAGAATTTTCCATGATAGATTTACGTGTCTTCCCCTCATTCACACATATACGCAACATGCCGAGACTGCTGTTGATCGATCTTTACAGAGCGGATCTTTCTTGGGTGAGTGCGGCTGATATAAACCATGCTTTCACCCCCATGACACAACCCCCACCACATAAACCATATCCCAACTAACGATGGCCCCCCAGCATAAGCCAAGCACTTTGCTTGCGTAAGCTTTACATGTGTGGAATCTTCATCGATCGCTTTCCTTACAGAAGCGAACATTCTTTTCTTATAGAATG